GTGAAGGCGGCAGAGCGGGAGCCGGGGGAGGGGGCAGCGGCTGTCTGACGGACCGCGGCGGCACCGCAGCTCCTCAGTGGTGAGGGCGCTGAGCCAGGACTCGGGGGTCCCGGGAGCGGGGCGTCGCGAAGCCAGGGGTCCTGGGGTAGGGGGTTGGGACACCGAGAGCTCATCGGCTCTTCTGCCCTGGGGGCGCGGGGACTCGGTGTCTGCCAGGTGCTCGGTGTCCGCGACCCGGGCTTGGCTCTCGCAGGGTAGAGCCAGTGTCTGAGCCGGGGGGAGGGGAGGGTCGGGACGGGTCGGATTGGGTTCCGCGGGGCGGGGGCGGTTTTGGGCTGCGCCGGTGACATCACCGACCACCCTCCCCCGCCCGAGCCCCCTCCCCTTTACTCCCTCCTTTCCTCGCCGCGCCTTTTGTCCCGGCGGCTCTCTGCTCCGCCCCGCCCCTCCCCGCCCATCTGCGAGGGAGGAGACTCCCCATCAGTGACTTCATTGAGTAGGTTCTTGGGGATTGGGGTCGGATCCTCCCCCAGAGAGGAGAGGCGCTCACCGCCTCTCAAACCCTCACAGGCAATCACACCTGTCACAGGTACACACGCTGCCACTCACAGGCACACGCTGCCACTGCCAGCCTCACTGTCACACTTCCTTACAGCCACTCAGACAGCCAGACACTGCTGCACCTGACAGCAGGTGGCCGCTGGACCCTCTCCCTCCACTCTCCACACCTGGGAATCAGGTCCGGCTCCTGCTGCACCAGACAGGCCTTGCTTGGCAAGTGCCTCTGAGAATCTGAGGAGGTGGCTTCCAGAGCTGCAGCGATCCGAGCAGGCTCCGCTGGAGCGATCTGAGGTGAGGGGCTTGGCTGGGCATGTTTAAGCGCACAGTGCTCTCCTGCCCACCCCCAGCAGCACCCCCACTACAGGCCCGAGGAGCTTTCCGGAGCTTCCCACACTTCTGGGGAGAAGACTTCTTAGCCAGCTTGATGTTTAAAATTCAGCTGGAGCCCTTAAAACTTCGAGCGTGGACGCTGAATGGGTTTGTAAAGTTTCGGTAAGTCCCTCCGGAGAAGGGCACTCACACCCACACCCAGTCAAGTTCTCCACATCCCCCTCCATTGTCTACCTGCCTCCTCCATCTCATCCTCATCTCATCCCCGCTATGTGCAAGAACTCCCCTTGGACCTCATCTTGCATTTGAATGGACCGTGCCCCTCATCATTCATCTCCTATCTCCGACCCCTTAGACATCCATTTTCCAAACTCTTCCAGTAATGCAACTTTCTACATGTCTCCCTGCCAACCCATCAGGAACCCATTTTCCACTCAGCCATTTCCACTTGTCCTCTCTCATCCCCCTCCATCAGCACCTCATGTCGTGTCTTGACCACGTGTCTCAGCAGTTCCCCTTGCCATTTCTCCCCCATTTTTTGTTCCTGCCTCTACATTAACACCCTCTTCGTTCTCCATCAAAGGCAGTGCCATGCCATGGGGCTCCTTTGTCATTCCAACACGTGGCTTGTGGGTAGAGGGAGGGAGGGTGGGAAGAAAGGAGAAGGAGGGAAGGAGGCAGGTCCTGGAAGAGCTTGCCCTGTGTCTGTGGAGGCAAGAGAATTATGGGTCTAGAACGACTCGCAGGTGGGTGCCAGAGAGGAAGCTGGCCGGGTGCAGAGGTAATGCAGGGACAGCAAAGGCAGGGTGGGTGGACTGGTGAGCCGTTCCACCTACCCTCTGCCTGGAAGCCACTATAGTTCTCTGGGGCACCCTCCTAGTGTGCCAGGGTTCCTTCCTAGTCCCAGAGAAAGCTGTGGGGGAGGCAGGGATGGCAGGCCACCCCCAGCTCCCTCTCAGACGGCTTTTACTGCTGCTTCCGAAAATGGCTGCCCTCCCCCAGATGCTCTTTTCTTCTTTGCCTCCCCCAACCCCAGTCTCCCCCACAGGCGTGACATGCTGGTGGTGGGGGAGAGGGGGAGTACCCGCCTTTATGGAGCCTTCTCTTCGTCAGAGCAAGGTGACTCCCAGAGCCATGAGTCAACCCAGCCACCTGCAGCAGGCCCTGTGGGGGAAGGTGTGGGGCTGTGCCCCTGCCTACCTGGGCCCTTGGAGACCTCCCCTGATCCGGTTACAGCCCTCCATCCTGCCTGGCCCCCTGTATACCTTGTGGCTGTGAAGTAGAGACAGAAAAGCCGTCCTCTGCTGTGGCTGCCAGCCCAGGACATTGCTAGAAAGACTCAGGTTCTGCTTGCTTTGGCTGGGGATGGCCAAATCTCAGAAGGACAGGGAATGGCTTTTTTTCATT